TTATTCTATTCTTTCTTTCCTCTTTCTTTTCTTTCTTTCTTTCTTTCTTTCTTTCTTTTTCTCTTCTCAAAACCCTTTGATCTTTTGAATTTCAATAGTAAAACATTAAAACAAAGTATAATTGATATATATATAGCATATAATAAAATGTATTAACACATACATTAATAAGATACAACAATATAAATGATATTATAAAAGGCGCCCCCCCTTGTCATTTTTGTTGCCTAGGCGGGCGCTTAGTCGCCTAGAAGGGTGTCTAGTTGCTAAAAGTCAAGGCGTTTGGGTGAGACGCCCAGCCAAGGGCTCCTAGTGGCCTAGGTGACTCCTAGGCCACAACTATGGGAGACCCAAAACTCTCAGGCCAATTATGGCTGTAGGTTCGATGAATTTTTCATTATTGGTAAATGCCTGTCTTTCTATTGTGATCAGGCCTAGGTCTGTCTCCACCGAGGTTGTCTCCAAAACCCAATGGACATTGCGAAAGGATTAGCATCACCTTGTTGTTGTCAAATGGAACTATCTCTAACTCTGCTGTATACTTTTACACTCCTCTGATGTCTTCTGCCATCCTGTTCCACTACTTTATCTTCCTGTTCGCTGAAATCACCAACCTACCTTGCCATGTCTTTTTCAGACCATGAAACCAAGCTTTTGGCTGCACTACTCTTAATGAGTAATGCACATCTTCTCCACTGGACGCTTGTATTTTCGAACTCACATCTAGTCCCTTAGCTTCACCAACCTGTAGTCTGTTCACAGTCTCCTTTGTGTCCTCATTCGAAGCCAGCTTGATCCATGAATATTCCTTTACTGCTTCTGCTAATAACATCCACCCGGAAGCATTCCTTCCTTCTGGAAAGCATGTAAGCTGCCTTGACCCTTCTCCATAATACTGATATACTTCAATGAATCGATCATTCCTCTTTTCTCTCCTCTCTGCAAAAGTATTTCTTACCTTCTTCAACATGGCATTGCTTCCATTCTTTCCTTGGTTCTATTTCTTTTGCCCCTTCCAGCACGTTTTGGAACCAAGAAACAGCTCTTGCTACAAGTATCAATGATGTTTTTCTCAGCTCTACTATCTTCAGTGCTGCTACTCTTTAATTGTATCAGTTGTGTCGCTCTGGAATATGCCATTGTGTCCCATCACAAGGTTCCAGCTCCTTGCCTGTGCAAACTCTCTCAAGGTGAAAAAAATGATAGGATGAGATAATTTTGAAGTTTTATATGCCCAAGCTTGATCCTTGTCTATCTGATATTTAAGTTGAACTTATATTCCCCTAATAGATTATTTTTTTGTTTTCCATATGAGAATCTTACACATTGGAGTCTGGAGCTGCTAGTGATTAATTTGGTTGTTTTGTAGAGTGCACTACCTCAAAGAGGTGGTGAGGTAAACCTGACTCTTGGTGGTATTGACTTGAATAATTCAGGGAGGTATGCATATTAGTATATTTTCTCTGTTTGTAGTATATTGTCCACTTGGCTTATGCTGGTGGCTGCTTCTATGCAGTGTTGTAGTTAGAGAGGATAAGAAACTGCTGACTGTACTATTTCCTGATGGACGTGATGGCCGAACATTTACGCTTAAGGTGCTTCATTTGATTATTTGGTTTTTGTTCCATTATATCTAGTATGGTGCTAGAAATTTCTTTACCATTCAATTCTTCATGTGCATTTCTGCTTCTCATTCTTTCTGATTTTCAGGCTGAGTCATCAGAGGATTTATTTGAGTGGAAGGCAGCACTTGAACAGGCCCTTGAACAAGCACCAAGTGCAGCCCTTGTGATGGGACAAAATGGCATATTCCGGAGCGACACGACTGATACAATTGAAGGATCTTTCCAACAATGTTTGTGCTCTTCTACTCTAATATTACACCATAACTTGTCCATGGATAAAACACATTTTTTTCCCGTTTATTGCTCTGTTTCTGAATGTTGCACTTCAGCAGTTCAGCCTGAGTTATTTATTTGTACTGAAACATTATTTAATCACATTCAAATGCATTAAAACATTTGAATAATGTGTTCTTCAGGGAGAGATAAACGCCCTGTAAAATCATTGGTTGTTAGGAGACCAATTTTGCTAGCTTTGGAAGATATAGATGGGGGCCCATCCTTTCTTGAGAAAGCTCTTCGCTTTCTAGAGATGTTTGGTAAGTGTTATTCTTGACTTTGGTAATAAGTTGTATTTTACAGTTAATGGTACATTTTTCTTATTACAGGTTCTTTCCTTAGACCTTTTTTTCTCCCTTGAGGAGCACATAAGCATTGTTTTGCCTATAGTATGTTAATTACAGTATGCAGCAGTGGTACTTTGTCATTTGAATATGGCCTGATTATTGGCTGTTTGGCATGACTCCTGAGAACCCCTTAAAAGTGAGAGTATTCAAATCTGTTTGTTAGGGCATGTAATGGTACTGCTTGACCAGAAACCCAACCCTGTATTGTATCCATATTTTGCAGGTCTGGGTTGCTAAAATGACCTGAATTCGTTAATGGGTCAGATACTATTTTGCTTGTATGGATCTTATCCAGATCTTCACCAGATATGGGCTTGTGTATGGGACCCATTTGGATCCTAATGCTTTTCATAAAATATAACATTTTTTATTTATTTGAGAGCAGTTGAGTAATCTCAAATCTATAATCTCTTTTAATTATATTTTATGTGTATTAAGAAGTACCAAATATAAAAAAATGGACTAAGGGCAATTACTCAGTTTAATGAATCTTGAACTGACAAGTGTGAGAACATGGATTCAAGTCTAAAAGCAGCCACTTTGTGGGGAAAAAATGCCAAATCTTAGGTCGTATCCGGTCCGCCCCTCCCAAATACTGCTTGCTGGATCTGGAGCTAGGAAGACCTAAAAACATTTCAGATCAGTTGTAAATCACACGTGCAATAATCTGAACTAAAAGAAAAGAAGCAGGAGAAAAGGAGATTGAAGAGAGGGAAGTGATGGAGGAAGATGGAAGAAAAGGAAAAAAAATTACTATTACTTATAGAAAAGGGTCATTGGTCACTAGCGTTCTCAAGCCTATCAACAACCATAAGGATTGAAAGAAAAGGAACAAAGAAACCTCCAAAGAGACTACTCAGGAAGGGTAGATCCCAATATAATTTCCTCTTATGAACTTCACTCCTTGGCAGTGAATCTTCTAGAACATTGTCTGGTCTCCTACTTCACTTGAATTGGATGTTCCATCCAACAAGGGACACCTTTCCTCTCTGATATCTTAAGTAACTAAACTTAACCAAACCTTTTTCTAAGTATATGGGATTAGCTACATGAATCCTGTTCCACCATTTGAAATTTGTTTTGCACCACATTCATTGTTACCTTTCATCTCTGAAGTAGTCGATCTTGACTACAATCAGTCTTGAATTTAAAAGAAAAAAGGATGAAAATTGAAGAGAAGAAGAGAAGAGAGGAAGAGAAGAAGAACACGAAGAGAGTTTCAGAAAAAAGAGAGGGAAGGTTATAATTTCTGCCGGCCTGCTCTTAGTATTTATATAACTATTGGCTAACTGTAAAAGGGCTGAATTGCCCTTATTGCTTACATGGCAAATAGAATAAGAAATAACTAATAATAAAGCTGAAATAACTACCAACTAACACTGTCATATCTAACAGAAATATTGCTTCCATACGAACACTGTGGGGACCACATCAGTGTTCTCTACACTTCCCCTCAAGTTGGGAATAGATATTTGTCATTCCCAACTTGCATAGATCTGCCTCTAACTTCTTCCTTGGAACCACCTTGGTGAGAAGATTTGCAAGCTGCATGCTGGAGGTGATATACGGAAGACACACTTCTTGAGATGAAACCCTTTCTTTGACAAAATGTCGGTCTACTTCAATATGCTTAGTTTTGTCATGCTGTATCGGATTATGAGCTATATTAATAGCAGCTTGATTATCACAATACAGCATTAAGGGTTTCTCATAAGCAATACCCAACTCCTCAAATATACCTCTACCTGGGTACCTCTTCAAATATGCTAATATCCTCTCAACTGCAAGTAAGTGAGTAGTCCTACGAGAGTGCATATACTGACTGACAACGTTGACTGCATAACTGATGTTCGGTCATGTGAGACAAAGATAGAGGAGTTTTCCAACTAACCATTGGAACATAGCTTTATCTTCAAGTGGTTTTCCACCCTCTGCACTGATCTTGTGATTCTGTTCAATAGGTGTATCTAGCTACCTCAATACCCAAGAAGTATTGTAGCTCTCCCAGATCTTTCACTTCAAATTCTTGATGGAGTTGTTTGAGAGACTCAATCTCACCGTTATCATTCCCTGTCACTACAATATCATCCACATATATAGTAAGCAAGGTCAAGGAAGAGTTCACTCTCTTAATGAACAATGTATTGTCTAACTGGGCCTGTACATAGCCGAATTTGTCAAGGGCTTGTCTGAATCTATCAAACCAAACTCTGGGGGACTGTTTGAGTCCATACAAGGTTTTATTCAATTGGCAAACCTTCTTTCCTGTTTTTGCATCATAAAATCCAGGAGGCAACTGCATGTAGACTTCTTCCTGCAGTCTCCATTGAGGAAGGGTTTTTTAACATCCATTTGGAACAAGGGCCAAGAGTAACTGACTGCAAGGGACAATAAAACCCTAATAGTGGTCATCTTTGCTACTGGAGCAAGAGTCTCCAAGTAGTCTACACCATAAGTCTGAGTAAATCCATTTGCAACTAACCGAGCCTTATACCTTTCAATGGAACCATCAACATTATGTTTCACAATAAATACCCATCTACATCCAACCGGTTTCTTCCCTTTAGGTTGGTCAACTAACTCCATTTCAACCTTCCTTGCATCCATTTCAACCTTCATTGCATCTTTCCACTCAGGAACTGACAAGCCCTCCTGCACTGTTCTAGGGATGGGGATACCAGCAATAGAGGAAGGACCTGTAAGAGGGGGACATGTGATCATAGGACAAGAACTGAGAAATGCAGTGGGCTGTAGATGTGGTGCAACGCCGTTTGCCTTTACGGACTGCAATGGGGAGGTCAAGGTCATCCAAAGGATGTAAAGGCTCAACAGTGGAAGGTATCTTAGTGGAACCTGGATCTGATAAAGGAGCTGTAGTACTTGGATCTGGATCCGCAGAAGGAACTGGAGCTGGCCTGGACTGCTGATGATCGAAATCAATCTGCCTCCACCACCTGTGATAGACTCTCAAATCCCGGAACCTCTGACACCCCTCCCCATTACATCCCTCATCACTCAATGGAATAGGTAAAGGAACTTTTGATGAGTTAACCCCACACTCACTACTCTCCCCCTGAGGAGAAACCCTAGGATAATAGGGTACATCCTCAAAGAAAGTAACATCCATAGAGACAAATCTTCTCCCAGAAGTGGGTTCGTAGTAGCAATATCCCTTTTGAGTTTATGCGTAACTGAGAAAAATACATTTGGAGGCCTTAGGATGAAATTTGGAACGGTGAGGTCCAAGAATCTGAACAAAGCAAGTACAACCAAAGGTTTTAAGGGGAACAATAAACAAGTATTTATTAGGGTATAGGAGGGTAAATGGAGGCTTCATGTCAAGAACCCGTGAAGGAACTCGGTTAATGAGATACACTACTGTAAGAATAGCATCTCCCAAGAAACGAATAGGCACATTGGAGTTAAACATGATGCTTCTGGCCACCTCCAATATGTGCCTATTCTTCCTCTCAACAACCCCATTCTACTGTGGTGTATGAGGACAAGGAATTTGATGATTAATCTCATGGTCAAACAAATAAGAGGCTAATTGTTTGGTGAAGTATTCTTTCGCATTATCAGATTATCAGATTTTGATTTTGACCCCAAATTAGGTTAAAATCATCTGACTAGAGATCCAGGTCAAAGCAAAAACTTCATCTCAAGAACGCATAAGGTAAACCCAAGAAAAACGGGTATAGTCATCAACAAACAACAAGAAATATCTGTACCCCCCCCATGGCAGTGATGTGGTAAGGACCCCAAACATCGGTATGCACAATATCAAAAGGATTATTACTTCTTTTATTACTCAATGAATAAGATGTTCTACAATGCTTTGCAAGTTCACAACTCTCACATCTCAAATTGGACATCTGAACAGACTCGAATAAATTAGGAAACAAACTCTTCAAAGACCGAAAAGATAAATGACCCAACTGATTATGCCAAAGCATAACCTGACTAACAGACTGAGAAACAAAAGACTTCCTATCTTCACTATCTTCCCAGTGTGAACTCTCTCCAAGTAGATAGATCCCATTTGTCTCACGGCAAGTTCCAATCACCTTCCTTGTCTCCAAGTCTTGAAAAACACATCGGTCAGGGAAAAAGGTTACTGAACAATTCTGATGTTTTGTAATGCTACTGACCGAAAGCAAGTTAGTATTAAGCTTAAGAACATGCAGAACTGAAGATAAGGAGATGGCATTAGACAACTTGATGTCTCCCTTGCCAGAAATTGGAACAAAGGAACCATCAGCAATGGACACTTTATCTCTGCCAGAAGATAAGTGATAGGTAGTGAATAGTGATGGCAAGCTAGTCATATGGTCAGATGCACCTGAGTCTATTACCCAACAATGTTCAGTGTTACCTGGAGCTGAAGCATGATAAGCTGAGGCCCGAGTACCTGAATGAGCAAAAGCTGATGTGGGAGCTGATGGCGGCTGAGATGATTGAGCTGAATTGCCAATTTCCTTTTCCAATTGAGTTAGGGCAGCCCAGACAGCAGCTAGGGTGTCTAGAGGTGTGCCTTTTGTGCCCGATGAGGAGGCACAATCAGTATTAATAGCCATATTAGCATTACCCCTTTTGTTCTTGAGTTTTGTTGGGACTAAATGAGTGTGCAACTTCCAACAGGTGTCTTTAGTATGCTTGGGTTTTGTTAGTGGTGTTAGTGAAGGGGTATTTCAGTCTTTGTACTTGTTGAGAATGCTGATGTGTACTGTTATGTTAGTTCGAGTGCCTCTTACTTAAAGAAGGGCACTCAAGTCTTTTTCAATAAGTCAATAATATAATAATAGGTCTGGCCGAATCAAGGGATTAACTTTTTTCCCTAATTCGAACCAGCCTTTCTCTCTTTTCTCTCTTCTCTCTTTTCTTCTTTCCTCTCCTACTTCTTGCTGTCTACT